GGGGCTCCCCCATGCACTGGGGCAGAGTGAGCTGCGATGGCCCCGTGGGCTGGCGTTCTTCTGCCTGTGCTCTGAATAGATAGTACACAGATGCCAGAACTAGGGGTGTGTCCAGACCACGAGGGGAGACCTCTGCCCACCCCACAGAGCAGCCGGAATCCAAACCTCTGGCCCTGTCGAGAGCTGGTGGAGATGTGGGCAGCTGGAAGGGACACCTGCCTCCCACAGTGGCCGCATCCTCACCTGCTGCAGGAGGTGCTATGGCAAGGTGGCTGGGCAGGCCCTCTATCCAAAGCCACCCCTGCAGGACTCAGCCCGGTGGGTGACCTGGGTGCTCTCCCAAAGACGGTCACACCAATGATTACACAGCTTCACGCGTAACATCCCAAGCATGAAGCCAACAAGACAGGTGCCAGGGCGGACTGCGGCCCAGCTGCACCCGGGGCACCTGCTGGCAGGGAGAGGCTGCGGAGCCTGGAGTGCATACTGCCAAAGACAAGGCCGGGGGAGCAGGCTGGGCACCGTGTGGCTCCAGCTGTCGAGCATTCTGGAAAGGGGGCATCGGGAGAGACATGAGAAGACCGACAGGCAGGTGCCAGGGAGGGTCCGAAGGGGAGCCCAGGGAAATTTCAGGGCAGACAAACTAGTCTGTCAGGCCCCGTCAAGGGACATAAGTTGTCAAACCCACTGGGCTGTGCACGCCAAGGGAGTGCTTCTGTGAACCTGGGACACCGGTTAGCAACAATGTATCACTATCCGCCGACACTGGCAACAATGTATCACTATCCGCTCGACACTGGCAACAATGTATCGCTATCCGCTGGACACTGGCAACACTGTATCACGATGTATCTCAGGAGTTGGAGGGGGCGGGGGCTTTCTGTGCTGCCTGCCCAAGGCCTCGGGACTCTACGACTGCTTTCTTACACACAGCCTACAGTCCACAGAGAAGAATGCGGCATCGGGCTGGGAGGAAGGCTCGTTAGCAGTCTGCAATATGCAGATGGCAGAGTCTTGCTTGCTGAGAGCTGGGAGAACTTGAAGTGCTGGCTGACGGGAGCCTGCAGCCGTC